GAGCATGCATAAAAAACAAAAAGAGTACAACTAATTATACCATATAGGCATAGATAGTGCTTAAGTGCAAGGATTTTTTTTTTTTGGCACATACATAAACATAAAATGAGACTGCATACACATATATATATATATAGGTATTAAAAAAGGATGGTCAGTTGCCCATTAATATGGTAATCTTGGTTGTTTCATGTTCAGGTATTTTCAGGATTTTTATTTTGTCCCTACCCTACAAAGTATTAGTCTATATTCATAAAATGTGTAAATAYAAAAATGCTTTGTATATAAAATATCAGTTATGTGTAAATATGATGGATTTTTATTGATTAGGGTCTGTTTTGCGAATAAAAAGGATAAAAATTTAATAGTTTCAACTTACTTATTTCCTGTACAATTTGCTATATGTGTAACACTGTATTAAAATGTGTGACCTGAAGTGAGAGATATTTTTTCAACTACTGCAACCCTTGTGTTTCCAGAGAGGTCAGCTCCTGAACAGAGGTTCCTAGACAGGAATCCTAGAGGAAGCATTTCTKGTTACTGGAAACTCTCACAAGTATGATGCTGAAGTCATCAAGAGAGAGTTGCCTTAATCTTCATGCAGTTCATTCAAACACTCATTACAATTCTTGCAGCCAGTTCTCAGCAAATGCTGGCATCTTACATAGTTTGAACCTAAATTCTCTCTCTGAACCTGTTTTACTGAGCAGGGACAGTAATTTTTACCATTACTTTAAGCTGTCATATGCTTTCTGCTGTGTTCTCACATGTATTTATGCAGTTGTACACTCACTTTGAAGAGTGCTCTTCAGTTTTTAGGCATTTACCATGAAGTGGATGCTCCACAGAGTAACAAACTGTCTCTGGGTTTGAATGGCTGGAAGGTAGGGTGTTCCTTCTAGACAACTAAAGGGCAAGTTTTAAGTTCTCTGAAATCTGAGGATTTCAGTGTGATCTTTCAAGGAGTTACATAATTAYAGACTCCTCGCATATTTTTCCACTTCTTGTGCCATCCTATCTCCTCATGCATTTCGAGGAGGCAACATAATGGATGGATTAAAAGAATCAAACATAATGTCTTTAAATCGTTGCCTAATGCTTAGTTGGACTTCATCTGTTTGCAGCAAAGCAGCTGGAGTATARTAATTTGAATTGTCATGTTTGAAGCTTTTAAGAAATCAAGTGAACAGCTGGCTAGGTGACTCAGTGACCTAAATTTCTTCAAGAGAGGAAAACATGTGCAGAAAAGGATCAGATTTCATTGTGGCACTTGCAGCAGAGATAGCAGCAGTGTGTTCCATTTCAAGTTCTCTGAAATGCATGTCAAAATGGTTCATGTAATAAATTAAAAGGGTTGTCCTGAATGAAGACTTTATTTGATAGCACATGATGCATTTTGAAGTCTGCCCCTCTATCACATACTTGACCTATTCTGGAAAATATAAGTAAAAGGGCAGGTATGTGCAAGTCCAGTTCTGCAGGAAATGGGGGGGTCATGGATCAAGTGCTGTCCTTACTCTTGAACAGAAATCTGATCTCTGAATTAAAACTGGCCTTTCATACAGCTAACTACACACCTCTCATCCAAAAAAAGAAAGCATAGGCATCCAATTCTTGCTCTCGTTGGAGAACATGTGGTAGAAGATTCTTCTTCTATGTCATCCTTGCTCCCTTACAATATCCAAGGCTAAAAAACAGAAAAAAATATCAGCATTGTGGAATTCAAATCTAGGGCTAAGGTGCATAAATACTTAATTTCATGACAAAATACCTCATTTACTTCACCRTATAGTCTCAGAGGTTGTATAGATCTGGCTTGTGGTAGAGTTGTTCACAGTTTTACCATTCTCTTTCTTTATGAGCAGGCATTTAATGATTTTACATTATAGCTTTGGGGGTTTGCCTTTTTTTTTTTTAAAGGTAGACAGCAAACTTGTTTACACAGAAGAGCGTTTTGCAAGTGTTTACCTTTGAAAACTGGAATATATAACTTGACCTAGTAAGCTCCTACAGAATACAAGACATGTTTATGCAAACATATCTAGATGGTTTAGAGTTGTCTCACTGCAGTTAACTGCTGCAGGTGGTGCATTTGTACTGAACTTTGAGAAGAGTTTTGAGGCTAAGCAGTAATAAAACTCACAAAAATTCCATTTTCAAACATCATTAAATTCCAAGGACTCCTTTTGAAGCATGACTCTCATCAGAACACTTTCTATTCTTGTTATAGTGAACCAATGAGTTGGTTTTCTGGGAAAAGATTAGTTTTTAAAAACATATTATATATTGCCCTTTCCCCTGAGGAAATATGTCTGTTCTTAAAAAGGAAAAAGAAGGCTGTTAAAATAGCTACGGTGGAAAACTGCAGAATGTTTTTGCATTTGCTTTTGGCTCTGCTTTAAGGCAGAGGCAGAGCAAAAATCTGAATCAGACTAATGCTGCCACAGTGCCTCTGAAGTGGTGTGGGAACTCGACAGTGGGAACAGGTTATTTTTCTGGGAAAAGCAGCATGAAGGACTTTAAATATAGAAGGGAGATAAGATGAAAAAGGAACCATCATCAGGAAAGAACAGAAGCAGGAACCAAACACTTAAATAGCTTTACAGGATTAATATTTGCTTCAGAAGGACATTAACAATGCAATTTAAATGTGTTGTAAGTTAAGATGGTATTATCTCTTGGTCATTTTATTAAGTACCTGTCATCTAGGCTTTATTGTCAAATCCATACACAAAATCCTTTTTCTCCTCAGAATAGCAGTTATATGCCCAAAGAAAAGCCACTAGGATTCAAGGAAGCAGAAGAAAAGTATAAGCCAGCCTACAGGGAATAGCAGCATCTTCTTTTTCTAAAACCACAYCTTCATTATTTTGAAACTTCTGAAACTTTTGAGATTTCTTCCCCAAAAGTGTTCTCAGCACTGGAACAGACTGTGCAGGGAAGCGATGGAGTCACCATCCCTAGAGGTTTTAAAGAGCCATGTAAATGTGGCACAGGAGATCGTTTAGAGGGGAACTTGGCAGTGCTGAGTTAATGGTTGGWCATCATGATCTTAAAGGTCTTTTTGCAATCTAAATAATCTATGAATAGTCTTAAATACTTTAAAAATCACTTTCATTTCTCAGTTGCAGAGATGGATTCCATGTAGATTTTCCCTTCCTTCAAGCAGCATTTCTGTTTTCAAGCATGGCAAAGGAMAAAATAAAATAAAAATAATAGCTCAAACATTACTAAAGGCAGCTCACTCATSCAGAAATAGGCTATAAAAGCCCCGCTTATACAAGTCCCACAACGTGCTAGCAAGAACAATATTGATCTTTAAAGTTTATTGAGGTGCCTCAGCAGGAATGCCTCTCTGCATTCAGAGACAGATTTCCCAAATTTCTTAATTTAGGAAAAGGAAAGTCCACACCTACAGCCTTCATACTTGTGATTATGTACTTCCTGTGAAAAGGCCTTTTCTGCACCTGAAACATTTTACTGGAGATGGCCATTACAGCCCACGAAGCTGTGTTCATGTAGAACAGGGTTCATTTCATTCTTCTCTGGAAACTATTTTCATCAATAATCTGCTAGTTTTAAATAGTCTCTTCTTTGCTTTAAGTATAATCCTGTTACTTTGAACATGAGCAAGCATTGCAAGAATTGCTTTCCAAAACAGGAAATTTAGCAATAAGCAGTGTGTAATAAGGGCACAGGAGATAAAAACAAAAGATGTTTCCTGCACTCTTCCTATATAATTTGTGTTCTTTACGTGCTCAACCCATTCACTCCTTTTGTAAGGTGAAGAAGGGATAAATTAATCAGCATTTAAGTGGCTGAAGAATGTCTCTAACCTTCAATACAGATGTGTTGTATACAAAACATGTTAATTTAAAGAAAACCCAGTTGGGCACAATGTCTGGAATCCACTATTTTCATTTCAATTAAGAACTTCCTTCWGAGCATTCTCCAAATCCAGCAAAGGATCTGAACCTGGTACCTCTGCATCCTATGTGCTTGCTCTGAAACCATTCAGTCRTTAGTTACCATCTCTTGAAGAAAGCTGGAATATAATTTTAAGTACTCTCAAAGGTTCAGAACTTTATTCCATCTCTAAAAAATAAAGGTTGAAACTACACCTATTCAAATCCTTATCAAATCTTTCACTGAGAGAACAGCTGGGGTTGCAACACTATCCCAACTGAGTAAAAAAGATGAAGGAGCAAGCAYATCTTAGCTACACTTTTGGAGTTGATCCTCTCAACCACTCAAGGCCTGCTCGCACTTAAGCCCATAAGCAAAGAAATGACCATTTCAAAGGCCAAAAGGCATTGAAAGGTTCAGCCTATAAGCAACACCAGCTCAATATACCACCACTATTTGCATGTAGTAACTTTATTGGCAAAAGAAAAATAAGTTTTTTTCTTATTTCCTGGGATTTAGCTACTGAATCCTGTGTTTACTGAACTGGAAGTTCACATCAGCAACTTAAAAAAAAAAAGAGATAAAGAGCCAAATCACAGTTTGTGTTTGTGTGTAGAATACAAATTCCACGTCCTCACAGGGCAGCTGCTGGGGTGTCACTCTGAATTCTAATTACAGGAACCAATTTGTTCTTACTCAGCAGCAGGTGATGATAGCATTTTGTAAACACTGTTACCAAACAATTTGCAAGGTATTTCTTCTGGAAGCTTTGTAAATTGGGTTTAACCTGCACAGAAAAGCAGTTAGGAATAAGAAATTGAACTTAATTCCAAGCAGTTATTTATTGTGCTGCTCAACTTCAGGCATCCGTATTGGGAGAAGCAGAAACTACAGAACCTCCCCAGGTGTTGTTTATTCCTTTCTTCAGTCTTAGTTTGAGATTTACACTTTTCTTGGCCAAGGAATTTCCATAAAGCTCCCAATGCCAGGCTCCAGTCTTCACAGTCCTTGTTAATTATTATCCTTCAGAAGCTGGTCATAAGCTGTCATTTAAAAATGAAGAACAAAAACAAAAAAAAAAAAACAACAAAAAAACAAAAACAAAAACAAAAACAAACAAAAAACAAGACAAAAAAAATCAAAAAGCAAAAATAATGCTGGGCAAAATTTTTAGACCACAGAAGGCATCAGATAGAGTATTCAGTGTCTTACTTCTTGTCTAAACTGAGTTCCATCAGTACAGCCAGTCTTACATGGAATAAAAAGCACAAGTCTGAAATACATTCTGTCAGAAGAGCAGGAGGCTAAGAAAAGCTTCAACTTGTCAACACCAGGAATGTTTACCTTAAATTAAAAGATTTTTTCAATCAAGGATCCGATGGGAWGATTGAATAACCAGCTTGCTTTCTAAAATGATTGGTGGCTCTGAGATGAGGAGATCATCCTCACCTAATGAGGAGTTCTGCTCACTGTTCACAAAGTTAGGAATATTAAATTTTGTAAGACAATGTAGGTCTTCCTCAAACATTCCACTGCTTCTGGGAACCTCCTGGAAGTGGGTATTAGTCTCCAGGATTGGACCTTTCTTACTCTCTTTTGCTTTGTTCATATGGTCCACTTCATTAATACAAAAATGGAAAAGTGACTGGGATTCTTCAGCCATTTGATGAGAAAAGCCCCTCTCAGACTCCAAAGGTCTTCCAAAATCCGCCACAAAGCTGTTCATGCGAAATCTTTTTTCAGAGGGTTCTGCATTGCTATGGAGGAAAAAGAAAAATACAGTAAACACAAAACTGTTTGAGAATTTATACAGTAAACACAGAACTGTTTGAGTTGAACTTATGCAGTAAACACAGAACTGTTKGAGTTCTTATCAACAAGTTGGGTTTCAGCAACCATTATGATCAGGAGAAAAGGAAACCCCACAGTTTATCTGCCACAGACTTTAAAGTTGGCATTATTTATTATTTTCTGCTGAAGGAATTTTAAGTCTTCATTTGTCATGATAATTTTCTGTGGGAATAAGTTCATGCCACCACTCTTAAATGGCACTTTGGTAATCAACATACTGTAACAATCACCTCACTGAATGAGTTTAGAAATACTCTTGATTTCGAGTAGTATCAAGCAGTAACAATTTTTTTTAAGGGCTTATAAAAACAGTTTGAGAAAAACCCTTGATAAATAAAAATCTGAGGCACAGGTAGCTCTGCTTTCACTAGGGCCATTGAGTCCAGACATCAAACTATTTTTTCCATTGACTTCAATCAATGATGTTCAGATTTCCAAATTAGGAGAATTGGAACTAAAGATTGTGTTAAAGACTGGGAGTCTTAACAATCCAGGCAGCCYAGGAAGGACAGTTTAACATCTTTTTTGGCAGTTTTCTATATAAATCTTATCTCAAACCAGCACCAATCTGCATGGGCTTGTTCAGGAGCCATGAACAGCTGGAAGTGAGAAACATTCAAGCTAGATGAAAGTTCTGCAGATTCATTCTTTGTCAGGCTGAATTTATATGCTATCATCACAAAATGCAAGTTATTTGCATCTGAAAGGCAGTAGAGGTATTCAGAGAATGAGCAATGAAAATTTATGCATGTTCTCAGAATATGAACTTTGTTGAGAACTAATAAATTCTASTGTTTACATCTGAAAATGCAGCAAATGACACTGGAGTCAGACAACTGGACACCTAAAGTTCCACCCAGCACTTCGAAGTTTTTCAGTGTAATTTGATACTTTTTGTAATTTTGATATTGCAGAAGGAGATAAGTGCCTATAAGCACCTGAAAGGCTCACATAATATCTTCAGAAATCTACCCACTAAAGCTTTCAAGTTCACRGGATACCTACCATTAGTCTTCCAGGCACAGTTAAAGCTCCCTGCTTTTTAAATGCTGATTTACTTCCATTACATGRTAGGACAATCCTGTCCTAACAAAATCACTTCCATTAGCCTTCAAATCGAAGCAGTTCTCTAGTTTGTCAAAACTGTATTGGCTCATTCTGCATTTCAAAGTGAACCATGCAGAATAATAACATTTAAATTGATCTGGGACTGACCAGTGAGTAACAATCTATTGTGTACACAGCTGGGGGCAAACAGCCTGGAAWAATTCTGAACTGGCAACATAAAGGTATTTATAATGCAGTAAAAAGCACCAGTCTGAGTTTAAGCTTCATATATAGCTTTGCAAACCTGTCCCAAGAGTTTCTAGGTGGTGTTGTGGCACAGGCAGTGGTGGCAAATGAGCACAGAAAGAAGGACAAGTTCTGTAAGCCCAGGAAGAAGTGACTGTGCAAGAAAGCTTAAAATGCTTCCACTGGAGGAGTAAAATTACTTAAAATAGTCGTGGCAAATGCTTCATAATCCAGTGAGCTACGAAAGAGCAAACACTGACCATGCAGAGGGCACACGGGACTGGCAGTGGCAGTGGCAACCAAATCTTATTGAAAGAATAGAAGATGCAAATAAATTTTTCARTGACCCAGAATGCTGAGGTCATATGATGAAGCATAATCCTGTGTTCATGAGCAGGAACACATRATCTAATATACAGGGATATTTTTGGATTCTGGAAATCACAAACACCATTCTTGTATTCTGGAGAGGAACTTTATTACATTTTTTAAAAACCCATTACGATATGTAAGAATACCTCAGCACATATCTTTTCAAAAYACTCAAGAAGAGCAGCCTGAAAAATCCCACTTTTACTTAACCAAAATCAACTGATTTCTTAAAAAAAAATCATCAGCTATTTAAAGTATACTGCTTTAAGATTACATCAGCAAATATTTTGTACAGACATGTTGCACGAACTCTTGCATTTGTTGCACAAATATGCTCTTAAGAATATTGAAATGCAGAAACAAGTATAGCATGCTTTCCTCTCCTGAATGATGAATGAGAGCATTTTTCAGACAGAAATTCAGAGACTGTCAACAAATATTTTTTTGCTTGCACAAGCTARTGTTCTAACCACGCTTATATGCAAGTAAACAAATGCAACAGGCATCATTTCCAAAACTGATTAAATTTYTGCCTCTCCCCATCCATATCCTGGTCTGAGAAAGTACCTAATTCTGAACATTTTCTGTAATTTTGAAAAGTACCTCCTATCATGCCTCTTTTATATTGAGCCAAAAAAAGCATACTACTACTAGAAATAAAATCAGAGTATTCTACTTTGGWTCCATCCATCTGAGCCCAGTCACTCTTAATCTCTCACATTAATGGTGCTTTAAAGAACAACCAAATAGCCTTAGTGAAGTCAGAGGCTTCAGAGATTTCATCCATCAATCAAGCTGGCTTTCTCCCAAGACCTAGGAATCCCATTAACATCTATTTCTAAAGGCTCAAGACAGCCCACTGAAGAAACTCCAAGTCATGAATAGTCCAGTCAGATATAAAGATGGAAGATGCAGGCAAAATGAAACCAGTCTGCTCTGGTTTTACAGGAAGCTGTTCTCCATTTTTAATATCCATGTATCAAAAATAAGAGGACACAACTCTGCTCACTGCACTTAGCATATTCCTAGAGGATCCATATTCAGCACCATGCAYGTTTCATTATCAAATGTCAAAAAAATAGTGCTCAAATTTGTTTAAGGTGCCACYTCAGCATACATAACAAGTGGGCAAACAGCCAGGCACACAGGTTTCCAAAGCTGCAAAGAGGTTTGTAACAATTACAGAAAGGAATAATTGGTCTCGCTTCAGCAACTGAAGAAAAATGATATTAAGGTTTAGAACCGAAGGGATTTTTGGAGATCTCAAGCCTAATGCTAAAGGTAAGGGCAAGTCTGAATTCAGATCACGTTATCTGGATGTAGAWGTTGATCAAAGGTGGACCTTTCACAAACTCTCTAGGCAACTGCTCTGAGAAAATTTATTCAAAAAGCAGAAAAAAGTGGGAGATATCAAGCAGACCTCTTGCTTGCCTCTGTAAGTAAATTTCTACAAGCGTAAAAATTTCTGACAAATATCCATATCAAATTCTCTCCATGTATGCATTTTTGGCTTCATCACTTTTTCCCTCTCAAATTATCCCAATGAGATACTGACTCATGCTCAGCTAATAAATAAGATCTTTGTGAAAAAGAGGGAGCACACCAGCAATTACAGAGATTTATAATCTATTTGGGAGCAATGTCTGGTCACTTCATAACAGTCTGTAGGGGAAGCAAAAATACCAGTGAGTCAGGTCTGGTCAGATGAATTCTTCTGCCTYTATTTCCTTCTCACAGGAGCAAAAYTCTGGGAGCAYKGAAGAGGCTCAGGACATAGAGCTGCCCTCTGTGCTGTGGCCCTGTCTCTGGAGATGTGCTTTACACAGTTTCAGRCATGGTTTACATGTGATTAAACAGCAAAGGAGGTCCAGCAGGCACAGAGAGGCTGCTTTAGGGAGAGATAAAGCACCAGCAATTGCCTTTTACAATCAGCTTCTCATCATTGCTACCTGCCTGCAAGCAATCTCATCCTCCTGAGAGGCTTTTTATTTCCACTTTATGRCACGCCAGCCTGAGAGGAGATGTGGGTTCAAACTTTCTCTGAGGAAGGGACACTGGCAGCCTGTGTCCTGTGCAAAAGCAGATAAATCATTGAGGCAAGGCATGGTCTGCATGTGCTTAAAAGGCAGGAAGAACAAAAAAAATAGAGGACTTTCCCTGGATTTAAAGAAATGTCAAGCTGATCTGTACTGCAGCATCTATTGCAATTTCTCAGAAGAAACTAAGACACTCTGAGACCTTGGGGGTTAAGGGATGATTTTGTAAATTCTACTCATCTCTATTTTTTGGACTTGAACACACAAACATAGAGAAACCAGCCAGGTTTCATCTTCCTTAATTCAACATCTGCACTGCATTTTATTTGTACATACCCTATTGATATTCACTCTTTCACTCCACAAAAACTTGAGCCTACTTGGAACCATCCCACCTATTTTCAAAACAGTAATCTAAAGGCACCTGTTTGGCAACCCACCAAAAACACCCTTTTAGAATGAAAATGATAAAATTACTTGAAGTGAAGACAGACTGCACTGTTTCATAAGAACAGACAGTACAATATCAGCACTGTCACTGCTTGTTTGGGGCTGCAAGAGCCCAGATGTGCCACTTTGGCAGGCTGGATTTGTCATTCCCATTTTCAGACTCACTCTTGATGTGGTGCTCCTGTCTTCGTCAGCAGGGTCAGGACAAAAAACATGAAGATGACAAAAACTGCAAGACCAACCCAAAACCCAATCACAATGGAATCTGGGAGGGAAAAAAAAGAGAAAACAAGATGATCAATATTTTACCTGCACTTGCAAAACGTTGCCTTCCACATGCAGCATGAGTGCAAACCCAAAACAATTTGCAGCTCATCTCTGGGTGGCAAAGAGAAAAGGTAATCAAATTTATCTTTATCTATTTTTAAACAGAAAGTTGCCATTGAAAATCTCATTTCAAAACCAAATTTTACTGATATCTGGACAAACCAGACAGTAGACAAAAGGTGGAAGACACTCAATTCTCTTGGTTAATAAAATGAGTTCCCTATGTGATGCCAGGCCCATTTCCAAGCATTGTTTTGRAAACAACCTCAGTGCTAGGACTAGGAAGAGAGAAACATTTGATTTTCCACAAAATCTTCTGTCTGTAAAACTGAACTCCTGCCATTTTAAATTATTTCTGCTCCAGGTTTTTGGATTTAAATGGATTTCTTTCACACAACATGTGGCTCTCAGTGGCAAAAGAGAGGGTTCTGCAATAAACAGAAACGCAGATAAAACTATTTGCTACCCCAACAAATATCAATAACCAACATATACAAGATGTTTTTGAATAATTTACAATTTGGATTTCCAACTTGAGTACAAAAAATGGCAGCACAACATCAGAGGAGCCCAATAGATTTGGACAAAAAAGTCAAACCACCAGTTAATCAATAGGAAATCACCAATGCAGYAGCCAAATATAGCAGTCATTGGGAAGAGCGTGGGTTTTGCCTGTGTGCATAAAAGGCACCCACTGTTCTCATCTATAGCAAATGAACTGTGGAAAATTTGCCAGTGCTACTGAAAACAAATACATCTCCACTTACAGCTTAAAAGCTGATTCACAGTTGCTCCTGAGGGAAGGTCMAAGTTTCCAGGAACTTGATTTAGAGAGGTTCAAGTGGGACAAACATATTTCCAGACAACAATCAACTGATTAGCACGGACCAAAGTTACAGAGCACCAACACATGATGTGACCTGGTCCAGGACCCATCAGCACACAGGTGTTTTTTCACCTGTCATTTCAGTTAGTTATCCTTTGCTTATGCAAATATTCAAAACTTTCACTGTAGAAGTTCAAAAGCAGTAGCATACAAACAACATGCAAGAGGAAGGATTGGTCAGGACAGGAACCCTTTCTACCCTCAGCCTCCACTGCACAGCCACTGCCAAACCCAAGATCCTCACTGGCTGCAAAGAGGATCTGTCTGAGCCAGTGCTGCAGGCAAGCACAAACTGTTCAATTTACTACTGGACTGACTAAAGACACCAAAAAAGTGAGGAATAGGCTCTCCTGCCTGGTGCTTGACCCCAGATGTTAATCATGGTCCCAATGTGAAATAATTTCCATGCTAAAAGGCAGATGTGGAAAYTGGAAATCGACCCAAACCATTCGCCCTCTCACTAAGGTAAGATGCCRGCTGCAACTTGAGGTTTTCTCCCTGTGAAAACCTTTTATCACAGTGAAGTCCCTCCTTAATCCCTTTTGCAGGTAAGCTAAGGAGGTTAAATTTCAAGTCTCTCACCGCAATATTTACTTCATCTCTCCTATACCATGTCTTTCCCTCTCAACACCCTGTGTAGAATAACTGGAGAAATGTTTTGAGTACAGGTCTCTGTGATGGCAGGGGAGGAGTTTTTGATGCCCCTTTCTGCTTAAAGCATCCTGCTMTGAGTTGATTTCTGTAATTCCATGTATTATATGTCCTAAATTACTTTCAGAGGCATTCTCTAAGCACAGCCTCTCTTCAGTCATTCATGATATACAAAACACCATAGTTCATCCTGCTGGACTCGGTAGTACATGAAAACTTCATCTAAAAATAAATTCTCCCTTTAAAAAATGTACCACTTAACCATTTATAGCTATTAGCACCTTCCAGGTGGTCAGATATGCTTGGATGATATGTAACTRCATTAATAACCAGAATGTAAAATGTAATAAAAATTACTAMAAAATRTGCACATAGATTATTCAATCAAGCTGCAAAACTTTACTAARAGGGGRRAAAAARRAAARAAAAAATCAAGGCTTTRATAAACTACTATTGCCCACAAGAATCACACCTGCTAGCCTTGTGTGATGTGTTCTGTGGGTGGTKTGGTGTTCCTGCTCCCAGCAGAATTGTTAAATTTACTGAGCCTAAAGCTACATCTTCCTTTGTTGTGCCTCCTGATACACTTCCAACCATCTGCTGCTCTATRTAAATTACATTGTTTGAATTTGTTTAAAATTCAAGCAGGTACCCTGAGTTTACTTCAATATTTCATTTAGGTCTCACTCACTTAAGTGGAAATTATTCAAACCTATTAAATATGAAATACTTATCCAAAATTAACAGTACATAACCCAACTTTTGTTCAAAAATACGGTATGAGGGACATTTATAATACTGCCCAAAGTTACAAATGGATAATCATGRGATACTTTCACATTTTCAAGTTGCAGTTTCAGCCTCCCTTTTCTTCATAATACAGACTCATAACAGCCTGGCAGCAATTCCAACTCCCCTGATCATTCTTCCTTTTTTTGTCTCTCACTAACATTACTCAGGCTTCCGCATTTACAAAGGAACAAAAAGTGATTTTGTTCTTATCTCTGCCAGTCACAAGTATCTCCTGGCTATCTTTGTCTATTTATTTTCTAAAGCTTTAATGTATAAAATATCTGGTCCCTACTTTTCCAGACTTTCTGATTTCTAATTCCTGCCTTCACTTCTCCTCCAGCAGAACATACTTTTTGCCTTCTTTTTTTCAGTCATGTATTTGAAATATCGCTGTGGCATCTCTTTCTATAGTAGATTATTTTCTCAATTCTTTTTCTTACAAGTCACTTGGAGTAAATTTTCTCTGCTTTCAATAACGGGCTCCTGAATTCCTTTATTTTTAAATCAAATCACCTAAACTGGAGTCTGTTTCCTATTGTGCTCTCCAACAAGAGTTACAGGCATTCATTGACACCTCTTCTTTGTGTGTATTCAAGGTCTCCCTCCCCATACAACCCTTGGATCTCCTGCCCTCTCCAGCCTGGGGTTTCAGGGAAGTTCATGGCTGATCCCACTGCCTCCACAYTGCACAACAGCCCCAGCTCAGCTGGCAAGAGCTGGAACAAAAACAAACCACGCCAAGAAATGTCGCCCCAAACACAACACAGACTGTTCCTTTACTGGATTAAGCTCTGCCCTCTGGGGAATGCATGCAATAACACTGAAGTAAACAGAGCCAGCTCTAATTTATCAGTTGAAACAAAGGAACAAACAAAAACTAAATAAAATCTGCCACAACCAGAAAAAGCTTCCCACATCKCTGATTCAAGTACTGCTAATGGCATCTTTCACCAAGCTCCACTTGAGTTGTTACTTCTGTCCCATTCCCTAAGAGCTGTCCAGCACCTTCTGCTCCACAAACACCACAGCCAGACAGGAAAGCTCAGCTTCCATGCTCAGCATGGCAATCACARTCCAAGGTCTGATTTGCAGTTATGCCTTCTGCAATCCAGAGGCAACTTTCATTTATATAATTTATTCATTTTTGTCCCATCACACTGTTTGAGACACTGAGCTCAAGAGAAGGCGTGCACATAACACTTCAGTTGATCTTCGCAACCAGTAATCTTTGCAATCAGGTTTGACCTCTGATGAAGTGGAAGAATGGAAGATAAATCAAAAATATGATGAAAGCTAACCCACGTTTTTCAAGTACCCATCATTTGTAAAAATGCAGACAGTAATCAGCAGACTTTTTTGGGGGAAGAAATAAAAAGCAAATTCTACTCTGCTTTTTTTTTTCCAGGGGTGTTAATAACTTCAACAAGTTTCTTCTGTCCCTTTCAGAGCCTCCCCAAAACCTGTTCACTGTGTAGAGGCAAGGGAGATCAGCCTTTCTGGGCTGCTGTTTGCCRCTATAAAGGCACTACTTTCTCCCAATCTGAATGCTCATGGTGACAAATGAGACAGAAAGGATGTAATCCTGCTGCAGCACTGCATGGAGATTCTTCCCCAAAATTTTGAAGGCTGAGGATCAAACCTTTTCATGTTGTGTCTAGCTCAGAAACAAAGAAACAAGATGTCTTTTTCTTTTTGGCAAAGTGCTTGCAAGACCCATTATGTAATTGAGTTGGTTTCTGTCACTCTTTCCCCCTATTTTATTGTTTTTCCTTCACAATCATCTCCTCTAAAAAGAAAAATCACCAAACCCATTGTACAGTTTTCAGAAAATGTTGGTCCAGCTGTACTAGCTTGTCTTAGCTAAAGTTTCTCCCAGTTTCAATACAATTTTTCATCTCTCTGGTCCTTATCCTCAAATTGTTGCTTCTACAGCAAAATTGCTCCAGTATTAACAGAATACTGAATTTAGAATACTCCTCCTGTGAAGAAAGTAGCAATGGTAAGTTTGTTCAGGAGTAAATTCTTCTCTTACTTCCAACCTTTTAAAAACCTAAAACTTATTTTCTATCAGGAAAACCAAACACTGTAAGACTCCCCACCACTGCCTTTTTACCATGAACAGAGACAAAAACAAAGCAACACTGATCTTACCAAGCAGTCACCAGAAGCAGCAGCGTGTCTGTATTTGCTGCTGTTAACTTTTCCTGACAGTCAGATATTCCTCAGTATTGACAAATTTCTACCACAGCCAATAAATCCATGGTTCTCTCATGCACAAAAAACAAGCAGCCAGCAAAAGGATACAGGATAACAAACAATAACGAGGACCTAAGAAAYAGAGGGATACTGCTTATTGCAGRGAATYCTAGGAATTAGGAAAGAGATGTTTYTGTACAATATTCAGTTACAGATGAAAATAGGAACACACAGACAGGAAGCTCAGCTGCAATGAAGTTTGTGCCTATTGAACTTACACTTGTGAGCCTTCAGGCCCTCAAAKGACACCGGTCCGTACTCGTAGTACTCGTAATCCCAGGTGTAATCCGAGTTAGACAAGGCCTGCTGGGAGGTTCTGTTGGAGATCAGCCTCAGGGCAGACATCTTGCACCTCAGCAAACACAGACCTGTGGATATTAAATGCCTTGATGGACACTACATCTAGCACAGCTTTGGGGGTTTTATTCTTTCTTTTCTCTCAGATCACCTCTTCATCGCTCCTCCCAAGAGCAGCCAGTGCTTCATCAGACAAGGTTATCAAGGTTATCAATCACATCCCTTCCCATTCCTTCCCCTAATTATGGACACATAATTGTGCCATAAAAGGCAAGGAAGATGTTTAGGGAGCACAGGAAACACGAGAGCCTAAGGGTTTGCGCAGCCTGGAGAAGGGACAGCTCCAGGGACACCTCAGCTCTGTCTGCACTTGGAGGGTGCAGAGATGATGCTGCCAGGCTCTTCTCAGAGGTGCACGGTAAGGGGACAACAAGCAATGGAGAAAAATTAGGAAGCAGGAAATTCAAATGAGATATGAGGGAAAATTTACCTGATCTAGTCGAACATGCTTCGAGTAGGAGGTTGGACCGGATGACCACCAGGGGTCCCTTCCAACCTGAATTTCTCTCTGCCGAAAAACGGGTTCAATATGCCTCTACAGAAGGAAAATAAAACACGAGTGATTCCCCTCACATATTAACAAAAACTGCAAAGCAATACTGAGCATCTTGAAATTATATMGATAGATAGCTCTGTCATTACCACCATTCTGGACTGGAGCTTTGCATTTTGCAGAGCAATTTTTTCAGAATATGAGACAGTTTTATGCACACCAAAAGAAAGAGTATCTCTGCACAAAATATCTGCTGCAGTAGCTGGAGTCAGGACACACAGCTTGAAACATATTACAAAATACTTTCTGTGAAAGCAAGCTGAACTTTGGGTAATTTTGCATTTAATTAAAACCCAGCATGACTGACTAAGGCTTCAAATGCTAGGAGGGCCATACACAAAGAACAACAATCAGGCACAAAATAAGAAACACTTTCAACCAGGGAATATGAGCAWTATTTCAAATTTCTTTCTGCAACTATTTTACTATGACCAAATTCTGGCAAATGCATCAAAGCAATTTAAAATAAATAGTATGCCTGAAAAAGTAGACTTCACAATAAATCACAATGTTTACAACTTTAAACACATACCAAAAACTTGACTGGCAAGTTAAAAATCTTTTTAAACTATAAATGGATCTGTTTTTCAGCCCAAACCAATTTAGCTTTTACATTRAGCAATCTGACAGCAGGAAAGTTGAGGAAGTGGGCTGGGGAAAGAAGTGACCAACCCCATTCTTGGATAAGAAGCTTCACCACATTACCCCACCTTACCCTTAGCCATTTAGAAAGCCCCCAACACAAAAGAAACACAAAATAACAGCCTGAAGCACAGAAGAGAAGGAAAAAAAAACATGGCTATAATGGACAGCCCAGTTCATGTCTGAGGATGTTTCCTATCTTGTGCTTCCAACCCTTTAAGAATGAACAGAGAGAAAGATGCAATCTAATTAAAAGTGCCTGTGTTGGTGGTGAAGTTCCTCCTTGGCTTTTCTATTTCCTTAAATCAAAGAGAGAATGTCTAATTAAGCTTTAGACAGAAGTTTTCTAATTTTTAATCAACTAAAGCAACTGCTGCCTCTGGGAGAAGCAAGTGGCCCAGAGAACACCCTGGGATCCCTGTCCTAGTTCACTCCCATCTCAGCTCTGTCAGTTGTTCATTACAAAACTTTGTGTTTCCTTTTGTGACTGTTCTCCAAGAGACCACATGGTGCCACACAGGGTTCTCACATCTTTTTTTCCCCTTCTCCTCAATGTTTGGTCGATGACATGTCTCTTGACAACAGTGATTAGTCTTGTTTAAGGGCTGCTTTTCTCTTTTATAGCTTTCCAGAGAAGCCTTTCATTAAAATATTCCTCACACAGCATCACTAATGGCCATTGGCACCTCCCTCCTTTTAGTGTGGCAAAAAGAGCTGAAATCCACTTGCAGAAAACTTCAGAATAGGGTATAGGAAGACTCTGAAAAATATTGTTTCTCCCACCTCAGAGCAGATGGGATTCACTGAGTGACATGCAGAGCTCTCCCCCAGTCTAGTCCCGAGTGTCCATTTGTGATTTGTAGGGAGGACAACCACTTCCAGGACACAAAGAATCCTTCCCAGTTTAGTATTGAATTAGGATTAGAAGCTCCAGCCTTTCACCACTGACTGCATGCATGTGGAGACTTGCTCTCACTGCAAACAAGCCACTAGAGAGGGAGAGGTGTTAATGGAAAGCTGAGTCACCAACTCTCAGGCTCATCTGTGCTTTGAGGGACATCCAAAATACACCTCTAAATCAACCAGTAGGGCTGAGTACAAGCACTGCTCCAAACCAACTTTCAGCTCATTTGCAAGCTTTGTCTGTCCAAATACCTCCAAAAACTCAACCTCAAACACGCAAAAACCTTTTATTCTACTTAAAAAGCCAGACTAGCACGGTGGCACAGGGCCCAGCACAGTGAAAGCAGTGACTCCTGAGACCTTGCACCTCCTGAGGAAGAGCACAGCAGGATGAGCTGGCACAGCAGCAGCCTGCCAGRTGCATTTGCCAGGCTGCAGCAGGTCATGCAGGGATTCAGGTAARAGGTAAGCACTTCTAAGAAGGAATTCCTCCAGGAGATGCACCCAAACACTCTTTCTGTCAGGCATGGAAAGCYGTGATTCATCCCACAGCTCTGAAGCTTCACATGGCGTTCCTCTAATTGACTTTGCTGAGGTTTTTTGGGGAGRAACAGGAGTATTTTGAGGCAAACATGAAAGCCCCTCTGTTGATTCAGATGTGTATGGATGCAGACAGGCTTTCCTCACTCTGGCTCTCTTCTTCCAGGACCAGGTAAGTCAGCAACAAAAAGCTTTACTTTGATTATTCAGAGTCCCAAAGCAGGACTGTGCTCAGTGCTGCCAACCAGAAATTTAGGCAGGTTGGTATCCTGGAAACTAAAAAGGAAAGTGCTCAGGGCCCTCTTCTGGTGCATTGGGGTGCTCTCTGCAGATCAATGTAACCAGATATTCCCCATGGAGACCCATCTGCAACTCCTGGGGCTGAATCATAGCTTCATGAGGATTTGTTTGTAATATGTGTGAAAGTTTGGAAGGTCTCAGCTGGCCTGACAGCTGCCAGTGGCACCTGGGCAAGCCAGTTTGGCTCCTGGGCTACGTTTGCATAAAATCCAAGTGCTTGAATGGCARCAGCAGTACATCAAATGCTGCTCAGAGGGACTATTTTCTCCAATCTGGACATCCCTGATGCATTTCATGAGGCTCTCAGCCACTTACCTCTCAGAATGAGTCACTGTAAAACTGAACCCACACCACATCTGCAGCACAACTTCATGGCTTACAGCACCACTGGGGCCACAAAGGCATATCTGGTTTGGTGCAGTCTGACACTGTCCTTGTAACCAGCCACAACTGCCTCHGGAGCCGACCTGCGAGCACAAAAAGAAAACCGTGTGCATTGTTCATGTACTGTTTGGTTTTGGAGCAAGAGAAACTGCCACTACGGTAGAGACAAGGAGCTTGGTGAATTTTCAATCAAAATCTACATCTATTTTCCACAAACTTCTATTCTGATT